TGATATTCGTGATCAGCGCATCGAATTACATCTATAGGCAACGTTTCAGCGAAAAAATTTTTTTGAGTTTTTGGGGTAGGAATAGTTCAATAGTGCCAAAAATTCAACAAATGGTATTAAAAGGGTTAAATGGAAAAAGAACTCGCACGAAAAGCAGGGTCAAGCATGCGCTGAGGAATCCTCAAGGGCTGGGGCCGTCATTGGCTCGCTGGGAAGGAGGAGTCGTATTGAGAGGGGTCAATGGCCAGCAAAGCTGCGATAACTTGAACGCGTAGATAGGGGCTGAAAGTTGAGCTCATGAAGTGGTGGTGCGGATGAGCCAGTTTAGTGAGAACACTTACTACTACATCCAGTTCTAGGGGCGTCGTTGGGGGAGAGGGTTAGATAGGGGGTGTGGTCTCACAAGCGAAACTGTTTTTCTCAACGTAAAACTTGATCCTGACCGAAAGCACTCACCAGAAATATCCCATATTTGTAGGTATGCTTGCACGTCGTCGTCCAAAGTCATTTTCTTCATAGCGAAATCTACGCCTATCTCAAAAAACCACAGTCCTTTCCAGAAATTTCAAACTTTACAGAAATGTTAACAGTAATAAAAATAAAAAATAATAATAACGGATAAACGGATAAAGTCTTCGCCGTTGATCAATCCCTTTGTGGGATGCGGCACGCATTCTACTTCCATTCAGAATCGTAGTGGCTTATTGAATGCGATGTGGCCTGTACAATGACTTGTGTGGGCCAGCCGAAGAGCAAACTGTGGTCCCATCCTCCCAGACGAATTTGGCACTAGTTTACCGGAGGAAAAAAGGCTTCGCTGGCACGGGCGGGAGCCGATCTGGTATTTGAACCCCGATCGCGCGCGTGGTAACCGTGCCACTTGCCTCCATAGCAAAGTGGGTGAATAATAATAATAAGTAGCATCAATAGCAAATAGCAGTTAGGCTGAATAATGAAAAAAATGAATGAATGAATAAATGAAAAATAATGAATGAATAAATAAAAGAATAATGAAAAAATAAAAAGAAAAAAATAATGAATGATGTCAATAACGAGTCATAATACTAGCAGCACTAAATATTGAAATGTAGATGTAAAAATGTAGAAAACAATCAATCAATAACAACAATAACAGTCAATAATAATAGATTTAAAATGTTAAAGAAATAAAACCAACATACGACATAATAATGATAATAAAAATAACAATAACCGTAATAGAACTACAACTAAAAACTTCATGGACTTCACCAATAATGATAATAATAACAATAATAATAATAATAATAATAATAATAATAATAATAATAATAATAATGATTGTAATAATCGCCCTACCGTTGCTTTATAATTTGCAGTGAATACGTCGTGTACGAATCGTCTTATAATAGAGGTTTTACCGGTACCAGGATCCCCAATTATAAGAATCTTGAACGTGTATTGTTTTGCCGTCATTCAAATGTACTCTATAATAGTGACATGAAAAAATATATTTCAAAAACTTCGTGAATTTCATTATTCAAAATAAATGTCAATATGCAACGAGAAAGGTATTCTGGAAGGTAGACGGTTTTTTTGCATTCGCATAGCATCGAACTTGTTATCAGTAGGTTGACCGCTATCTTGGCATGTGATACCACAGTGGCAGTGGACACGACCTCGTTGAAAAACATCGCCTCCGAGGACCCTAGGAAAGACACACACATGGTTCACGGAATGTTGGACGATCCTCAAGTTCTTGGCTTTGTACGGATTGCCATATCGTAGACGCTGTACTAGGGCTCATTGATCCAGCCTTTCTCCCAACAGACCAACCAAGAATTTCATCCACTTGTGGTCCACTTCTCTCCAGGACAAAATCACTGTAGTGAGCATCAGCGGCCTCATAACTCAATGAGTACATGGTAAAAGCGGCCCTGGTGGCGTAACGGATAGCGCACTCGCCCGGAAAGCGTGAGGTGCGGGTTCGACTCCCGCCTGGGGCACGACTTTTGCCCATAACTCAGCATTCTTGTGATAATGAGTACAACTGATATCGTCGCGATCAAGCCGGCCTTCCAGGGGGAGTGGAGTATGAACCCGAGCGGCACGTCCTGCCACTGGTTTGTTTTCTTCCAATGCGATATGAACTGCCGTGCACGGCCATCTGTGAGACGGGTGGCCAGAGCATTGGCTCTCATGGCCATTTAGCAAATCTGACGGTCGCTTGAAGTACTGCGCAGTTAAAGGTGTTTGTGCTTCATTTAAAGGGAATAATGAGATCTGTTTAATTTGTTATGCACAAGAATGCTAGTGCTGAGGGCCTAATGTTCAGGACTTCGTGATGACGAGGCGCCGTCGAACCGCGTCACCACGAAGTCCTGAGACACGCCCACTACTGCATTAAGGTCTCCAGTGCTACAGACGGGTATCCAAGTCATAGACGAGTACCGATCTGCTCCAGCCGCCATCGTTTCAAGAGAGTATGAAGTAATTGGACAAGGTCAATCCTTGCCTAATCGCACACAGGTTTCATACTCGACGGCCGGCCAGTCATGATTTGGGAGAGTACAGAATATTAGGAGGGTACTAAAGTGTATGATAAGGCAACACGTACCTTCCTATTGTTCAGTACTCTCTCGAAGCACTAGCGGCCAAAGTTGATCGATGAACGTTGGCCCGTTGAACGCAGTCGACGCGCGTCATGAAGAAGTCTGAACGCTGTTTCATGGGCAAGAGTCGTCTCGAACCTGCCTCACGCTTCACGGGCGAGTGCGCTATTCCTTAGGTCTTTGGCCGTCCTCTAGCCCTTCCAGTTCTACGGCTTTGACCAAAGCCTAACAGCACTAACAGTTCACTGCCGTTGTAGGCTGATTGGCTCATTACGTCGAAAGTGTGAATGCTGTACAGCTATGCCACAAAATTCGTTGAACTGGGAGTTGAAGAAGTTTGAACGCTGTTTCATGGGCAAAAGTCGGGTCTCAAACCCTGCCTCACGCTTCACGGGGAAGAGGTCGCTCAGGTGGCGTACTGAATAGCGTGACCGGCCGGAAAGCGCAGCATAGTTGTGGGTTCTATCTGTATGTAGGATCAAGCTTTTGTCCACAACTCAGCAATTTTGTGACAACTTTCGGAGCGCGAACTGGGGCGTTAAAAACTGGTACTTGCAAAAGACTTAAAACTGGAATTATATGAAGGGATTAACTTCACACTTTTCCACTTTCTTTCTTATTTTCTCTATCCCCTCTGCTATATCAAGACCGCTCGTCTTTAGAAGAGCTGATATGTGTCGTGATGACAAATACTACAGCAAACATAGACTCTGAACATGTGTTTAAGGTGAGTGACGTCAGTCCTCATTTCTTTTGCACCCGTGATAAACAAAGCGTTCGGCTCCATAGTATGCCTAGTTTTTTTCTTCTTTTGTAATAATAGTTTGATAGAAAAGCCAAACGACAAACTCGTGATTTTGGAGTTTTTCTTTCAATACATTCTTTTTCTTTTTTCTCCGGTCTTTCAGATCCGGCTTGAAGAAAAACTGTGCAAATGTTCGCTTTCTTTGATTCATGTCCATTTTCGCTGCTTGCATGTTTTGTTAGCCTACAATTCTGAAATCAGGTGGAAATTTCCGCTCACCTAAGAGGCTAATCCTTTTTCAACCTACACACCTATACACTCCCCATCCCTGTGCCAGAGTGGCGTGGCATTTGAACATGGCACGGGAACTGGTTACTCGTGGAATATTCCAGTCTGGGACAACTGTCATCTTGTTCTGTATTGGACAGAGACACGACAACAATTGTGTCAAGATGAAAATATCTCACCAGAAGCATAGACACCTTCAGGTTAAGTTGAAACATGCGGCCACGCCTACCCGATCTCAGGGATTTCGAGTATATGTTGCTGCGGAGGTGCCATCTAAGTGCCCGTTATAAGTGCGGAGCGATGAAGCTGGATGGCTGTGATCATTCTTTGTCACCACCCTCTACCCGAAAATGCGCATGCGCGATGCGCACGCGGCACGTTGCGGACATGTTACCAACACGTTCGCTGCACCTAGGGCAACCAAGATGCCACAGCGAACGTGCTGGCACGCTATGCGAGCACGCAGCTAAAGACCTGTAGACGGCAATGGTGCACCAGTCAGACGTAGAGAGGACATATAAAGGTAATTTGCCCGGCTAGGCTAGAGGTATTGTTGATCGTGCTGCGTATTGCGGGTCTGTGGCGTACTTTCACTGCTGACAGAGGCATGAACTAGCATCCAGCAATCCATCCTCGTACAGAGAGAACCCGCTCCTCTGCCATCCCATTTCGAGTGACAGAAGTGCCACCTGTCCACTGCTGCCCTGCGCATTCACCCGTGGATGAGTTCATCCCAGCAGGTAAGCTGGCAACGCGTCCGAAAGCGCACAATAGATAAAAGTGTACGCCGCCGTGTTGCACCGATGTTTATGGGACTGAGCCGCTCTGTACAATGGATGTTTGGTGCATTTCAATCGCAAAGGGGTCGAGCTCATGTTCTGATCGCCGGCGTGAGCGGTGACTACGGGTTATTCATTTTTTTCCGCGCTAATGAGATGACTATGCTGCAAAATTTCATTGTCTCCTGAAGAAAACTGGCATCAGCCGAAACCAGAGCTGAATCAAATCTAGCCATGGACACAAAGCGCAGGCACTTAGACATATGTACAGATCGCATTGTCTCTTATCATATTGTCCTTGGGACAGATTCACGTGGAAATCATTCGTAGGGGCAGCAATCATCGGAGCGCTCTATGAAAACGTTCTTTTACACATAGACTATTGTCGCCAATCAATATTCTCTTGAACTGTCTCAGAAGTTTCTACGAAATTTGTCAATCTGAAATCCTTAATATATTTTCCAAGAACACTT